CTGCAACAGCTTCTTATTTACCTGCAGCTGCTACAGCATCAGCTACAACATTAACTTCATCAACTGGTAAATAATTACAAATATATATATATATACATGTCAATAAAAATACTAATCAATTTTTCTTTTCATTAAGATATTGCATCTGTAGGTTGGTGTATATTTGTTTATAATCTAGCACCTGAAATAGAAGAGAATATGTTATGGCAATTATTTGGACCATTTGGTGCTGTACAAAATGTTAAAATAATACGTGATTTTCAAACACAAAAATGTAAAGGTTTTGGTTTTGTAACGATGACTAATTATGATGAAGCATTAATGGCTATTAATTCGCTTAATGGTTTTACACTTGGTAATCGTGTATTACAAGTATCATTTAAAACCAATAAACCAATGCCTATTCGCGCTTTCTAGTCCATCCAAGTAGCTTTTTTTTCTTCTTTTGTCTTCTCTTTATATATATGTGTGTGTTATTACTTTAATTGTGTGCTCAGTTTGTGTCTTTCTTTATTCATTGGATAAAACAAAAGCAAAAAAAGAAGTCTTCATAAAAAAAACAGTTTTATGTATGTATACATATACAGAGAATAGAACAATCCATTGTCGTCTTCTTGTTATTGTAATGATATCATTAATTTGACAGATGTTCTTCTCATGTTAATCTTATTTTTTATGTTTGATTTATTATTGAAGTAACAGGATAAAAAAGAATTCTAATTCATTTTTATAAAGCAAAAAAAAAATGAAAATCTATATGTATAAAATTGTTAAGCTATCTTAGATTATTTTGTAATGAATAGGTGATCATAAGACAATGCATATTGCATTATCCTAATTTTTTTTGCCTTCTTTTAACTAGAAAAATAATTCAAACCATCTGGCAGACTAGGGACAAATCTACCATCTGTATGTCATTATATCTTGATGAACGAGAGTTCTCTGGTTAACGTACATGCCTGCTCAGTTGCTTCTACTAAGAACATGTTGTCTGTGTTATTTCTCTCTACTCGTCCTCCCTTTTTTTTATTTGCAATTATTCGTAGATATATACATATATATATATAGTTTGGGAAGTAGATCAGCTGCAAAATCGAATGCATTCTGCTACTTGTTGTATCATCACATATAAATAACAGATGGTAATCACTCTCATTTAGTTACTCGCTTAGGGTTTCGTTTGTATTTGATGTTCAAATAAATAACCACTTAGCATTGTTCCTGTCTTTCTTTCTTTCTCTATCTGACATTTTATAATAACATTCAGGGACTTTGAGCCAGAGTAAAACTATTTTTAGAATCATAGTTTGAACTGTAACCTACACATATATAAATATCAATCGATTATCTTTGTGGGTGTGGACAAATACCAGATCTTTATCTGGTTCATCTATATATATATATTTCTCTCGGAATCTTTGTACTTTTATTAACTGGCAACATCTTGTTTCCCAGTGGCAGCTGTTAATGATGAAGAGTTAACTAAAAATGAAAGAAGAAAGAAAGACGATGAAAATTATTACTACGCAGATACGTGAAACGAACTGGTGCATACGTCATTATTTCTGTTCTTCATCTTCAGCTATCTTTCGTCCTTGCTTTATATATATATATATATATATATATGCATGAAGCATATGCTGGCATGACACCACATTGCTAAATAAAAATGGTGCAATCTGTTGCATGTTCACCAAATGTTTTTCCTCTTTTTTTCTTTTCTAGATTACCTATGCCAACTGATTCAAACGAAAGGCCAATTTCATCATCGACAACAGTAGTCATACCGTCGATGAGTACAATTACATCAAGTATCAATAATAAATCATTACCATCAAATCAACCTCGAACACCACCAACACCTACTCGATCAAATTCTCCTTCACAATCACTGAATAAATTAAAACGTTTTCTTAGCACATTATATCATTTTGGTTCGGATATATCAAATGAAGTAGGCGAACGTGTGCGAACATTGATATTAGCTCTCGTTGTAAGTATTATCCATCGTTTCTTCAATATTGATACCTTGATACTAGACTTGATATTTGAATGAGAATATGACCAGATGATTTTTTAACGTTTTTTATTCTAAATGAGAGAGAAATACTTTTTATAATAAAAAATGGCAAGGGCAAGTTAAAAGGACATTTAGAAATTTATTTACTATTGAATTTTTTATTTTGTTTAGAATAATGCTTTATCCGTGGAAGAATTTCATAGTAAAGTACAAGCGGCTACAAATTTTCCATTACGACCATTTGCGTTACCATTTTTAAAGGTATTTGATTGAATTAAGTTAGATAATCTAGACTTAGCACAAGATATATTCTTAGTTAAATCTGTATTTGTTCTTATAAATTTTAGTCAACATTACCTCTTTTACAAAAAGATCTTTCACAATTAGCACATCATTCTAAACAATCAACAAGTCAATATCTTGCTCAAAATGAAGATTTAATCTTTTTAGCTCGTGATGTACTTGATAAAAGTAATAATCCATCGATTACGAATTTTAAAGAACAAATTAATGAAAAGAAAAAAAGAAAATTATCTGATGAGTATGAATATTTTTTTTTGTTTTCTTCTATTGGCTATGAAATATTTTAGTACAAATGAATTTGATGAACGACCATATGCAACAAAACGTTCATCAGTTACTATAAATCATCGTTCATTTATTTCTTCGAATATAAGCAATAATTTACTAACATCAACATCAATTCGACGTGATATTCGTGATAAAGAACGAGCATTTACTGCATGTAAATTATTTTTATATTGAAATATAAAATTTGTATTCTTTATTTATTAAAGATTTACGTCAATATGAATCGGATCTGAAAGATGTTGGTAATAAAAATAAAGAAGATGAATGGAAAAATGCAGAAAATGTATAATTAAATTTACTTTCAAAAATATTAATTTTTTTTTACAAATTTAGATGCTCAATTATATTCTTGAAATGGTTACAAAAGCCAAACGAGTTATATTTATGTTACAAGAGAAAGATAATCATCTTCATCGTGTTCTTGAAACATGTGATCTTGAATGGCGACGAAGACATGCAGATTTATTAACACATACGGAAGTTCGTATAAGTGAAGTTCGACGAAAAGCTGGTAAATTATAGTTTATAATGGGAACCGGAATGTTCAGCACCGGAATTTTCAGCACAATAATTACTCAGCACCAAGAAAAATTAGAATCTTGAGGGTGGGTGTGGGCGTGGAAGGGCATCAGTGGTGTATTGTAATCGCACATCTGCTCCCGCATCCACACCCATCCTCAAGATTCTAATTTTTCTTGGTGCTGAATAATCACTGTGCTGAACATTCGTCTGCTGAATATTCTGTGCTGAACGTTCACTAATCCGTTTAAAATAGACTTTAAAAGAAGTTTTTATTTTTAGAAGAAACTGTTCTTGAAATAAAACGTCAATCTATAAATGATTTACAAAAAGCAGTTTTACAAACGGAACAAAAATCGAATGAAATTTTAGCTCGTGAACGTGAACAATATCAACGATTAAATCAAGAATTAAAAACACAAACATTTGAAGAAGCATATGCAGTATTTAATCGACAAGAAGATGGACCAGAAGTAAAATTTCTATTTCTAAGGTTTTTATCTATTTTTTTGTTTTTGGTATATTAAGCAATGTTGGCATTGTGGTCGTAAAGCTATTGAAACATGTTCTGGCTGTAATATTGCTCGTTATTGTGGTCAATATTGTCAGCATCGTGATTGGGAATTACATCAAAAATTATGTGGATCTGATTTAAAACGAAAATTTAGTGATAGTTCTTTATTATATCGACGTTCTCATTCAAAATTTAATATTAATATTTCTTCAAATCATCAAAAAGATGTTACACGAAAAAATAGTGATGCAACAACTACATCATATTTAGACGTATCATCACCATTGATTGATGAAACAATAACAATGATTAAATCAAATGATAATAGTGATAATAAATCTGAAATCGAAAAAATTGAAGTCAATACTTCAAAGAGCGAAAATATTTAACTTTCAATATATATATATATTATGTTTTATATAGATAAATATAATTGAGGTGTAAGCGAAATTGTTTGCTTTTTTTTGTATAAAAATAGATAATCTTCTTTTTGTTTTTGTTTTGATGTATATGTCAACGCATTGATGAAAATAATATTATTATTAACATAATAATGGTTTATTTTATTGATTTGAAATTGAAGTGAAGTCTCATGTATCTACAATTATTGAATATAATTAATACTGGAGGGTATTACTTTGGTTCTTTGTTTACTTGTGTTGTATTTATGAGTTTCATATTGTTTTAGACGATCATAGATTTTAATTGTGTCTTCAGGGATGTGTCACAAAAAAAGTGGGAGGGGTGCAGATTAGTTTTTTTCCATTTGATAACCTTGTTTTGAAATCTATAAGCAGTACATCCCTGTGTGTCTTTATCGTAGTCGTTTATATAGAGATTATTCGTGACGAATATAACTAAAAATTGACAACTTGAAGATATTCAAAATACGTTGTAATTGTAAGTCGTTAGATAAAACCAAAAGATGTTTACTCTCTTGAGATAATCTCTAAAGGCTATCGTGTTTAATACCACATTATTCGTACATTAATCCTATTCATGTAAAAAAAGTTGTGAAAATGGTGATTTTTATGAGAAATCAATTTAAATGACACGATTTTAATAGCTTGGTAACCAATTAAGTTGAAATAATCAATTAAAATCGATTATTTTTTCACGAAAAATCAAATATCATTGGATTTTAATCGATTTTTTACAACAATGTAATGGATTTTAATTGATTATTTCAACGTAATTGATTAGCAAGCTATTGAAATCGATTTCTCATGGAATTTTTCATAAAAATCATGATTTTTACAACTTTTTTACATGGGTATGATACGGAAGAATAGTATTGTATAATCGAACTCTACTAGTTAGTCAAATCATAAACGTTCTTTTGTATTCCTACAGACAATATATATACAAGTAATGGTCGTCTAAGGGCTCGCTTAGTTCTTTCTCGTGGAAACCCATTTTCTTCACATTTCCTGGAAAAACAACTGAAAATCGCGAAAAACTGATTTTCGATGTTTCTTTGACCCTGTGGACACACAAGAAATCAAACAAATAATTTATGTTTACTGGACTCTTCTCTACGAGAAAGAGAATATACGTTTTATTCACAAACGCAATGATCGATACAAAAACTTTGGTAACTAAGGGAAACAGATAACATTTCTGTCTGAGGTAGAACGATATTCATTACTTTAGCTATACTTTCAGAATGATGATGAGTGATGCCAGATGTCATAGTCAGAAAACCGGAATTTCAATGTCAAAATCCGGAAAATTCCCGAAGCTTTTTTTGTTAAATCTTGTTCTCAATTATATCATTTATTATTTCAAAAAACACATGTTTCAATATACCAAAAGAAAATCAACATCAAAATTCAAAATATTATAAATTAAATATATAAGAAGTGATAAATTGTAAATTCCACTATTAATCAATACGTTGTTTTTTAATAGAATACTTGTCACTAGAATGAATAAGTTTCAATAGTTCTGATTTTGATAAAAAAATACTCATAAACTATCAAATAAATAAAAATCATCTAAAATCCGGAAGATCTGGCAACACTGATGATGCTATACATATTATTCTCTAAACTTATACTTTTATATCTTATAATAAGACCATTCTTTTGCTATAGACGTAAAAACGTAACTTCGCCAACTGACTGATTAAATCTAGATGACGCTAGTAGTCAAGAATAATAATTACGAAAATACGTTTCGTGTCAATGGTTTAATATTTTATTATAACGTATTTGATTTATTTTTCCTATTATGATTACGAAAAGAAAATTAATGTTTTATAAACAATGGTGTTATTTGATCCAATCATTAATTAGACGCCTACATATGATGTATGTGTGTATGTGTAAAATAATCATCATGAATATATTTTGTTGGTCAAAAGTCTTTCGTGTTCTTTTTATTAGGAGTGACATTTTTCCTGTCAGTCATATGAACAACATATTATTGTATTGACAAAAGAAAAGACAAACAATAGAAAAAAAAATATCATTGTCTTATTTATTTTGATTATTTTCGATAAATTCTATAGGAAAAAAAAACAAGAATTTTTGAATGATTTCGCAATGAATATTTCTTGTCTCAAATGTACAATCAATCGACAAATAGTTAAAGTTTATAATTGGAAGCGTTATGTTTCCGATAGTAGTACAATTAATTACAGTTCAAAAGAGGTTTGTTTATATTATTTCTAAAGCTAATTAAATATTAAAGTTTTTTTTCGATAATAATTTTAGCCACAATTTGGTTTTCTTTTCGATATCGATGGTGTATTAACACGTGGAAGAAAATTATTACCATATACTCGTGATGCATTTCGTAAACTTGTAACTTCATCTGGACGTTTTCGTGTTCCAACTGTTTTTGTTACAAATGCTGGTAATGAATTACGTTCATCAAAAGCAGCAAAACTTTCACAAATTCTTGGAATTCCTGTAGGTTTAGATTTTATTTTTAAAATAAATATTTATTTTTTAATTTAGGTTTCACCGGAACAAGTTATTATGTCACATAGTCCATTGAAAATGTATACTGAATTTCATAAAAAACATTGTTTAATTAGTGGTCAAGGACCAATTGCTGATATAGCAAAAAATTTAGGTTTTACTAAAGTTACAACTATTGAACAATTATGTGATGCATTTCCTAATCTTGATATGGTTGATCATAAAAAACGACGAGGATTTGTATGTCGTTTATTTTTTGTTAGGAGAAAAAACGTTTTTTTTTCTTTCTTCAATTATAGCATTCACCATTTCGTGATTATTTCTTACCAATTGACGCTATTGTTTTATTTGGTGAACCAGTTAGATGGGAAACATGTCTACAATTGATAATTGATGTTTTAATGACAAATGGAAATCCTTCATCACCTATTATTCGTCCACCTATTTCACATTTACCTATTTTAGCATCAAACGCCGACCTTTTATGGATGGCTGAAGCTGCTTTACCAAGGTAAAACGAAAAAAAAAACATCTAATTTCAGATACCTCTAAAACATATATATATAATGATGAATTATCAAATGTGTTACATACTTTTACTGAGTTTTTAGATGAATAAAATCGAATTTTGAATAAATCTAATTATGAGGAATTAATTATAAATGACACTAATCTAAGTAAATAGAAAGTTTTACACCGGATATACGTGCGCATATGATGCATTCGATACTTTAAAAAAAGAAAAGGACGACATAGTCTGAAAAACTCTGATATGTAATTAATCTAGAAGACTTGAAATGTCAATATAAAAATAGATTATTAGAATTGGATATAAGGGTCAGGTAGTTTTAATCCAAGATCAGAAATATTTTTGTTCTCAGTCATTAGAAGTTCTAACGAACTTTAAAAGAGAATGAAATGTTTTGTTCTATTTTTAGTTATTACGTCTTCGACATTGATTAAATTTCTGATTCACATGATTTTATTTTTGTATTCCTTTATTTAGAATAGAAAATCATAAGCAACAGTTAAGAGAAAGTAAAACGACTTAAGAATATCAAGCAGATCGTAGAGAACAGATACTGAATTGTTTAGATCGCTGACTGATTGCGTTGGATGTGTTTAATTTGACCATTGTATCATCAATATATCCAAAGTGTAATGATTAGTACTTTGGAAAATCGATCACGAATTTTCACTCTTGCATATTTAATATTAGCTATTAAAAAATGTGACAAATATCTGTAGTATAATATATGTTATTAAAAATGATTTATTATAGATTTGGCCATGGATCATTCATGCATTGCTTGGAAAACTTGTACAAAGTAAAACTTTTTTTTCTTTTAAATTTAACATTGATTTATCTATTGTGTTTTTTTTCAAGAAAATATCTGGTCATCCTTTACAATATACTGCAATCGTTGGTAAACCAAGTGAAATAACGTATTATCACGCAGAATATCTTATATCTCGTCATGCATACGATCTTGGTTATAAACAACCAATAAAACGTATATATGCTGTTGGTGTAAGTCTTTCATAAAAGAACACATTGAATTCAATAAAAATTCTATTATTTGTTTTTAAGGACAATCCAGATACGGATGTATTCGGTGCAAATGTTTATAATCGTTATTTACAAACTCGAGCATTATCAAAATTAAAACAAGTTGTTACAAAAACAGCTACCGGTAGTTTAACATCGAATGCATCACCAATGCTTGATACAAATGTATGGAGTAATTCAAATGCTGTTGAATTAGTTGCTGCTGATGCTGAACATTATTATTCAGCAGAAAATATTCAATCAATACTTGTCTGTACAGGTGTATATAATCATGATGCTTATGATGAAACATCTAGTATTAATCATGGTCATCGTGATATGATTATTGATCCCGAATTAAAAAAACCAAAATATACAGTTGAACATGTTTTAGATGCTGTGAAACTAGTTTATGATGTTGAACAATTTCATTAGTAATGAAATCAATTGTCCATAATGAAAAGAAACAAACAAACAAATAAACCATAATCATAATCTCGGTGATTGATATTCGTTTTGGTAGACAATGAAGATCTGAATATGAGGAAAAATTTATTTTTCTATTACCCTTTTATTTATAACAATATTAAATATATATATTATAGATTGATCCATCCTATTTTCACATTTTAGTTTGTTTTAAAATCAGATAGTTTTCTGTTATTTTCCTTTTTCGCTTGTGTTTCTATAAGTGCGTTCTCATGAATGACAGACAATCTGTTTAAACACATTTATATATATATATAAATATTAATTTATATGTAATCAACTTGTTACTAGACGTTTGTTTTTCTTTTTCAAAGAACTGTTTGATTCGGATGATGATGTACTTCTACTGTAGGTTAATTGAGAACATATCGATTTAATAAATAAAAACCACTGATTACTTGCATGAAAATATAGAAAATGATGATTTATTCATAGTCCATAGATTATATGGATAGAATATTTTTTAATAATATATTTGATATTTTATAAAGTAGATTTTTTCTTTTAGATATTTCTATAATGAACCTTTGGAGTACCAGCCGGGATCATTTCTGACTACAACCTGAAAACTTTCAAAATACGTTGAGAATATTTTTTTCTCATATTTTGGAAGCAACTAGTATCATTTAAGAGTAGTTTTATATAGTTTCATATAAAAGGTAACATATTTACATTCCATACTAATTCAACTTCTCGATACAAGACCGTGTTTTCAATATCCATCAAATATATTAGAGAAAGAAAAACACGTAAAAGTTTTCATATATATTGAGGGTGGGTGTGAGTGTGTTACTATCTCTATACTTGTACCCACC